GCTGGATAAAACTACAATTGGAAGAAATTTCAAAAAGTGGCAAAACTCAGTCTCATTATTGCCACAGCCTCATTACTAGTATGACTGAAATAAAGTCATTATATCTATTAAAAACTGAATTCCAAATTCATGTTAAAATAAAAGAATATATGTTGGAGAAAAAGAAAATATTAGAAAATTATATTGAAAAATTGTGCAATGGTATGAAATAATTACATTTATTGTAAAACTAATAATGAATCGTTTATATTTTCAATTGTTCATGATCAAATTTTAGAGGGTATGCAGAGGAATGATAACTTTATTACACTATACAGAGAGATTATAAAAGTTGCCAACTTACTTAAGTTAGAACAACTTGATGCTGTATCTCTATTGTTGAAGAAAACAAAAAATATAGACATATTTAAATATTTTTCAAGGTATATGAATATACATATATTTCCGCATATAAAACTGAAAAGAGTATGAACTAGTTTTTTTACTATTCATTACCGTTTAGCTCTATAGGAGGACAATCAAGTTTAATACCAGATGAATGTCCATATATATACAAAATATGTTTAACAATTTTACAATATACTGAAATGGATGAAGATGCCGCAATCGCTATAAAAAATTTAATTTCTTCCGCTTTGTGCGTTTGCCTCGATAGTACGTACTTGTCCATTGCAATCGAGTTAGAAATTATTATTATCAATCTTATTCAAGTAAAAGCTCTATAAACTACTTAGTAGTAATTACTTTCACTAATTTTTACATCGTGTTTTAGATGAATTGCAGTCTGTATTATCATTAGCTGTTTGGATCAATTTATATCAGGAATGCTTCAATAAAGGTAACAAGTATGGTTTGAATCTTTTAGACGCACAACAAGAAGAAACTTTAAGAACAAATTGGAAATTATACACGGTATATAAAGATTTAGCTATTGCTGCAGATGGATTCATGTTACCATTGTTTAGAGATATGATCTTTATGCAACAATTTTATCTAGTTAAGCAAAAATCTTGTAAGTTACAATTAATAATAATAATAGTCATATGAAATAATAATGATAATATATAATCTTTTTATTTACGATACAGGTGTTAAGTATTTAATAGTAGTTGCAGGTGCTGAAAATTCTAATCAAGAGTTATTAACGAACTTACTGAATAAGATAAGAAAATTAAGAGCAGAACATAATGATTATTGCTTCCTACAAATTGTTAAGACTTTATATTTCAATTCTTGTATTATGACAGATATAAATTCTGTTGTAGTAACAGAAATCAAATCAGTTTATAGCCATTTTTTAATAATACTATTAAAGAAAGTAATAAGTTCACGAACATTTGATCTTTATCTTGGATTGTCCTGTTTGTTTATGCTATCCGAGATGGATACATGTAAATGGATCCCTTCTGCCTGCAAAGCGTATGTATATTGTTTAATGTGAATATAAAAATAATAAATAGTAACAAATATATTTCTTCAGGTACCAGTCAGATTGTACTCGGCATTTAAGAATATCAATCCTTGCATATGAATACTATCGTTTATGTAAAAACAAATCATCTTTGCAAATTTATAAGGATAATAAAATGCTGCATTCTTGGGCACAAAAATTATCAAAATATTCTATTTCATACAAGGGTTGGATTTATTTTATTACAAGAGTCTGTTTTCTGCTACGTTGAATCTATTAAATATATACTTTAAAAAATATTTGCAGAAATTTTAACAAGTGATGCGACAACTAGAAGAGAAATACTGCAACGCGTTATGCATTACAATGATAATGATATGATACCCCTGTTCCAAGATTTTTGCACTGATTTTGATTTTGATGTACAAGATTGTTTATTAATTTATTTACAAATTATAATAACATCTTGGAATCCAAAATTAAATGTATCCAATGTCAATGGAAAGGAGGGTAAGTCACGGTATGATATCGTTATTTCTTTTAATATTTAATTGTAATGTTCACTCCAACTATATTTTCAGAATTACATATTGATGAGGATGATGTGAACGATTTAAAGAAAAAATGCAAAATAGTAGCTGCTAAAATTTTAAATGAAGATTTTCTGCAAAATTCTGTCACCACTGTTTTATCAGAAGTAAAATGACTACCGGAACCATCAAAATATTATAGACTATAATTTTTTCAAAATCATATACGTATTCATTATTTTAGGTCAATTTTTATTATTATGAAGTATTTATAATTCTTATGGACCTCATAGAAGACGAAAATATTGAACGTAGAAATTATTTTTGTTTTCTACAAAATTATACTCGAAATAGGTAAGCATCGTAAAAATAATCTTCAGACTAAATGAGTACTTTATTTGATAATTTTTTTTGTAATTTCAGTCAACCCACACAAGCAGAACGTGATGAGTGGATGCATCTCAATCCAGGATATACATCTCTACCACCCATAGCAAAGTGGCGGTTACCTTTTCTGCCGAAAATTGAATTATGGACATCTATAAGTACAACTTTGCTTGCATATTTTATATTATTTATACATTGCATCATTTATCAGACGTTATCATTTAACTTCAATTCTAACAGAAATATTTATATGTTCTATTTCTTATGATTTCCTTGTTTTATACAGGATGACTCTAAACAATGTTTAAAAGAAAAATTAAATAGTTACCGATTATCTGATAATAGTTTTTCCATGTAGACGCATAGAGAACATGTGAAAATTGTGTTATGAAATCATTTAACTTTTGTCTGAATCATTTTTAGATATACTTAATTGAGTCAATTTAAATGAATCATCTTATATATCTCAAATGTTCTATTTTCTCATTTATTTCAGCACCAGAATTAAACTTAAAAAGCTATGAGAAGTGGTTAGATATAGCACCTACACTTAAATTACAACCGCATATATTATGTACATTGGCCATTAAAGGAGAAGTGACAAGAACGTGGGGAAATAAACATAAATCAGAAGAATGGAGTCTGAGCCCGAAAAACAGTAGTTTATTAAATGATATAAAGAAATGCATAGAACGAATGACTGGGCCAAATGCATTATATTATGGCACTGCAGCATTATATTATGTTGTGAATCATACACCTCCAGGTATCCTGAAATTCCTAAATCATACATTAATTTATTTCAATAGCAAGGACACGATAATTTTTTTTATATTTACTAGGTGCTGACCGAGTAGCTGCTGTGGAAGAATGTTATAAATATGCTCTATTATCAGTTAAAAAATCTACTAAATTTGAAGAAGGCATGCTTGAGGTACATTTTTTCTCTTGATTAATATTATTCTGTAAACATAACAATCCATCATTCAATATTTTTTTTAGAAAATAAAATTTAAATATTTCCACTTTACGTCAGAACATATCTTACGTACTCATGGCTTAGGAATTCCAGAGTACTTATCACTGATTGGAAACCCGCATAAATTAGTCCGTGAATTATACACAGATGCAACTATACCGCAAAGATATCGATGTATCACAGATCATAGACCTGATATAAATGCTGCAGTTCATGCGATCAATGAGCTGTTTCCTATAAATCTGGTAAAACTGCGAATGGATTTATTACAAGAATGGCTACAACCAGATGTTAAATACATGAAATTTAATCAAAGTATTACAGATACATTTTCAATCATTGTAAATTCTGAACCAAAATCAAATTCAGATGATAATTTATTGAGGTATAGAGTTGTATTTATAAAATTTATTTCTTGAATATTCCAAAAACTCCCTCAACTTATGATAATGCATTTTTAGGGCTTGCTACATTCTAGAGCATGGAGATATCGAATTATCAGCCAACTTTTTAATAAATATAGGTTTTGGTGAGAACTATGAGAATTATACTCCTGAAACGTGTTACAAAGCTCTTCATGTATTACAGCTATTAGTTGACACTGAGCAATTGGAAAATTTAACTAAACGCGATATTCAAACAATTAGGTTTGTACTTATCTTCGAATTTACTTGCTTATTTAGCTACTACATACATTTCAATAATTACTTTACAGAAAACATATGTGTTCCCTGAAGTACATATATAGACTAGAATCGTTAGGAATTATGTATAACATAAATACATTCATAACAAGTTCTAAAGAGGAATTAGTACGTGTATTAATGAAAACCCAGAGTCACTCATCACAAGCTCTTGTTCTCATTGCACAAATATGCATTGACTTTAAAATATATGAATATACCTTGTGGGATAAAAATTTAACCGAATTAGCTAAATTGTTAATGGTAAAGATTTATATTTTTCCAAAATTAAAAATCAAATGCACAAGATTTGTAAACTTATACTTAATTCGTTATATTTTAGATCAACGATCTTAAAAGGATTCTGTTACAAGTACGTAACGTAAGTGCAATTGTAAATTCCAATGGGTACTTGTTAGGATGGCAAGCAGTAATTCTGGAACCATTCAGAAAAATGGATTCAACTCCTACTCAGGAACAAATTGACAATTGTATTGAAGCATTACAATTGTTGTACTCATGCCCTGTTGTGCATATGTTATATTTTAGCGACATTATAAAATACTGTTTTCAGTGTCAACAGCCTCATTTAGCTGCTGCAATTTTACCTTTTTTGAATGATGATGATAAAGAATACGTTTTACGAGTAAGTAATTTCATTAATATAATAATTTTTCCGAATATGTAAAGGTTATTCTAAGAAATTGTTATATGTCTAGGAAATAAAAAATACATCCCACGTTAAAAAGCTCTTGGAAGATTTAAATAAATTATTATTAAGTGGAATACTTTGTGTCTCTTATGTAAGTNGCAATTTTACCTTTTTTGAATGATGATGATAAAGAATACGTTTTACGAGTAAGTAATTTCATTAATATAATAATTTTTCCGAATATGTAAAGGTTATTCTAAGAAATTGTTATATGTCTAGGAAATAAAAAATACATCCCACGTTAAAAAGCTCTTGGAAGATTTAAATAAATTATTATTAAGTGGAATACTTTGTGTCTCTTATGTAAGT